ACATTTTGTACTCCTCGGTTATAGCAAACGCTAAGAAAAATCCAAACTTCAATACGCCTATTAAGTTTTTAGAATTAGAATTGCCGGAGCAAGAACTTTATCGGCCACCGTTAACGATAAGAGCGGTCGATTGTAGAAGTTTCGGCAGATACACTCTTGTAGGCACGCATACTATTAATTCGATTCACAAATATACTTATTCTCCGCAAACTAAGAGAGCTCGAGACGTAGAAGAGAGAAAGAAGAGTCTTTATCAGTTGCAATGTGCTGGTAAACAAACATTATTTATCCATTTGTTGTGTGTATTATGACGATCTAAAAGTTCGTGCATTTTTAAATTGATATTTCCAAAGTTAATTTTATATAATAACATATAAAATTATTAACAATATATATAATATATAAGCAATAACAATCTATTATGCAATTTTAAAGTAAACTTTCGACATAATAAACGAACAAACTTTTGGTTCACCCTAATATTATCTTATGTTAGAATTAGGATCACATTTTCATACATTTATTTGTTAACTTAGGCCTCGAACAAGGAAGATCGAAGTATCAACAACAAACGAGTATGCCAGAATCGTTTACTCAATCCGATATTGGTTCAAATAATAACGATACGATAATCACATTAGGATTTGAACAATGTGTCTGGCAAACTAAAAGAGATAAAACCGAACAAAATCTACGAAAAAAGCAGAGTCCACTGAACGATATCGGATTAAGTAAGTTAATCGTCAAACTTTATCTACTATTTCAAGTTATAACATATATATATATATATATATATAATGATGTAATAATTGAAACGATTAGATGACGTTGGAATATTTGACGATGGAGATGGTTGTCAGGATTGGTGGACGAAGTATTTCGCATCGGTCGAAGCAATGATCGAGGAAAATAAAGAATTGAGGAGAGAAAAATCTATATTTCAAGCGCAACCGAATGGAACTTTGCCAGCTTTTTTGGAAGATGCATTTGAACAAGGCCAAGCAAGGCAACTAACAACTACAGGTGAAAAAAGTCCGGGTAGCGTTTATCCAAGCAAGAAATTGTTTGGCCTGAAATCACCGTCAAATGCATCGAAATTCGTGTCGAAACTGAGTCCAAAACACATGCCAAGAAAGATCATTCCTAAAGCAGCTCTCCTCAAAATTTATCCTAACGAATTAGAAGCTCAGCCTGAATTCGAACAGTTCAAGGAATGGCTGCATACGTTCGAACTTTATCGGGGCAAGAAAACTGGCGATGAACCCGAGGACGAGCATAGAATCGTTGGATATTTTAAAGGAGCTTTAAAAGTCTACAAATGGCCACTTCCGAAGGATCTGATAGATCATACCGTGATGGGATTTGATCCTCAGTATGGTTTCTTTCAAGGTGTACCATCTAACGAACCTATTCATGTGCTTGTCAGAGTATACATCGTTAAGGCCAACGATCTTCATCCTTGCGATCTTAATGGTAAAGCTGATCCTTATGTTGTTCTCCAGTTGGGTGGTAAAAGGATTAGTGACAAGGAACATTATGTTTCTAAGCAGCTCAATCCTGTATTCGGGAAGTAAGTATCGTCTTTCTTTTATTTTTCAAATAAAATTACAAAGTCTATATACCTACTATTGATGGGTTTATTGATTATTGATGGGTTATTATTGATGGGTTGAAGGTGTTTTGAAATAGAAGCTACCTTTCCTCAGGATTCCTTGTTAACTGTTCAAGTTCTCGATTGGGATTTAGTTGGTACCGATGATATGATCGGCGAGACAAAAATTGATTTGGAAAATCGATTTTATAGTAGGCATCGTGCCACTTGTGGTTTTCCAAGACGATACGATGAGTTAGTTTGTTATTAACGTACTTTATTATTGATCACGATAAATACTTAATCTTGATTATACACATTATACAGATCAGGTTATAACAAGTGGAGGGATGCAATGAAACCTACACAAATTTTATCTAAATTATGCAAAGAGGGTAAAGTAGATGGTCCTGTGTATTCTCATGGGCGCGTAACCATTGGGAGAAAAACATTTTCCTTGTCAAACGAGGATATGGAATTTTACGTTCATTCAAAAGGTTCTAACGAATTTGATTATTATAATCAAAATAGACGCGTTTTATTTGATTTGATTTTTGTTTTCAGGTATAGAAGAACACCTTGCCTTGGCTGTACTTCATCAATGGAATTCTTTTCCCCGTATCGGTTCTACTTTAGTACCCGAACACGTTGAAACTCGACCACTTTACAATCCCGAAAAGCCAGGTATTGAACAAGGAAAATTGGAAATGTGGGTGGACATGTTTCCAATGGATATGCCTTCACCAGGTTCACCAATCGACATATCACCTAGGAAACCAAAGAGTTATGAGTTACGAGTGATCATTTGGAATACAGATGACGTCGTGCTCGAAGATGATGCTTTCTTTACCGGCGAAAAGATGAGCGATATTTACGTTAAAGGGTAAAATTAAATATCATTTTCGAATTATATCAAATTTTATCTTTTTTTTACATTTCTAAATACTACTCTTTTTCTTCTTATGATAGTTGGTTAAAAGGACCAGAGGATTGTCAATCAACGGATATCCATTATCGATCATTGACTGGTGAGGGTAACTTCAATTGGAGATTCATTTTTCCATTTGATTATCTTGTTGCCGAAGAGAAGATCGTCATCAATCGAAAAGAAAGTCTTTTTAGTTGGGACGAATCTGAGTGTAAAATTCCAGCACGATTAGAATTACAAGTAACGTATATTTCACAAACCTAAACTTTTCATATTATTTAGGGAGAGATGAGAAATAATACGAAACAAATGATCATACTGTATACTGACTCACTCACAGGAGTATTCCTTGCTTTTAACTTTAAACAATTACTATTTGATTGGAATGCAAATGATTCAGAACATATATATATATATATATATATATATATATATATATACACTTACATTTTATTCACAATCTCCTCTTTTGTGTTTTCTCTTGAATTCATTCACCTTTTCTTTCCATTTATTTTGATATTTTTATTCTCGTTTTATTTCCTATTTTAAAATGAAATGCAGATTCAGATGTTTTCATTGTACGAGGTCATTCGAAAAATAAAAACGCTCTTGGAACTAGTATTCTCTTCACCTGAAAAAACATTTCATTCATCCAGCTCATTAAAAATCGTCACGTTCTTTCCCTTTATTGCTTTTTCAAATACAATGCAGACAATGGAAGAACGATTGTAAATAGTTTTAAAGATTTATGGGACGTCCTAGAGTTTACCGTACACATTTTTCAAACGTTATTAAAGGACACACCTAGTGTGAAATTTTGAAAAGATTGATTTGATTGAAAAATCATTTCGATTTATAAAATCTTGTAAAAATACGTATAACATTAATGAAATTTATCATATTATCTTTATTGAAAGGTATGGGATGCCGATCACTTTTCAGCAGACGATTTCTTAGGTGCAATCACTCTCGATCTCAATCGATTTCCACGTGGCGCAAAGAATAGCAAACTATGTACGCTTGGTATGTTAAAAACGGATGGTTCTGTACCAATGGTTAATATTTTTAAGCAGAAACGAGTAAAAGGTTGGTGGCCTTTTTACGTGAAGAAGGAAAACGAAGATATGGAACTCACGGTATGGTCACATAGATCTAATTAAATACTTTATTTAATTATGTAAACTCTAAACGAATAATAAGCTTCTTTAATCAGGGTAAGGTAGAAGCCGAAATACATTTATTGACGAAAGAAGAAGCGGAAAAAAATCCTGCTGGTTTTGGTCGCAATGAACCTGACCCTTTGGATAAACCCAAGTTAGTATTTTCCTTCATATTATAATATTAGATTAAATGATCGTTCTTGTATTACGTTTTGAATTCCTTGCTTTTTATTGTTTCGTTTTTTTGTTTTACAGTCGACCGGATGCTTCGTTCATGTGGTTCCTGAATCCGTTAAAATCAATCAAATATATCGTTTGGCACAACTATAAATGGGCTATTTTAAAAGCTATGATAATGATAGGTTTGATATTACTCATACTCCTATTTTTCTATGCTATTCCCGGTTATTCGGTGAAGAAGATTTTAGGAGCTTAAAAATGAAATAACAAAATGAGTGCAAATTGAAATAATGTACAAATGATGTGGCACGACGAAGCTGCTGGTATTAAAGAAAATAATAATTTAGTATAAATTTAGAATATTTTTTCATTTCTTATAGGCATATAAAATACCATAAGCATATCTCGACACAAAAAAATTCACGTTGCAGAGTACTTTGTTTCTAGATATATAATATCAGCGTATATGTACATATACCATGAATTATGTACGAAAGATTAGGCTAGTAACTACTAGTTTAAAAATATTTTTCGGTAAAGTTGACATCCACGTCTAATTACATTATTAGAATTAAACGTGGAACAAAAATTTTATTAGGCCTACGTACGAAGTAGCGGGCAAGATTGATAATAATCGATTGATATAAACGCACTTAAATATTTTTATTACAAATAAAAGCACAAATTAGGAAAATATTTAAGAATGGGTACTAATTAAATCATTATTACTTAAATCTTTCATTTTAGAGGACCAATGATTATTAATGAGCGTATTCGCGATTTATCCTTTTCGTTATGGTATCATTAAACGTATCATTCGTGTGTATAGGAAGATTGGTTCAAGTATATGAATCGTTGGTAACGAAAATTTATCCGATGTAAATATTCAATCTATATCGTTTCAAAAAGGATTCTTTATAGTAATCTAAAGATATGTTAAAGCAATTTGGTACAATAATTATTTATATACTATCGATATTATGTATGTATATCGTAGTAAAAATATTTCAATCAAGAATAATTACTTTTACTTTAGATATCGTTAGAAATTTAGTATTGTAATAATTATAAATGCGCAAGTAATTGTGTATGTGTATTTGGGTTGAATATTAAATAGACAAAGAAAATAATTAATTTGAAATATTTTACATAAAACATTCTGTATTTAGATAACACAGATTTGTACATTTCTATCATTTAAATTTACATATCTACAGGTAAAACGTCGAACTTATTATTAGCGTATTTTATGTTGAATAGTTCCGAAGAATTGTCTTCCTCTTCTTCCTCCTCCCTACTTTCCTCTTCGCTTGTTCCTTCTTTTGACCTTTCATTTTGTTCATCCTCTTCTTCCTCTTCTTCGTCATTGGAAAAGGAAGATCTTACGCAGGAACTAGTAGCACGGTCTTGTGATTTACATTCCTGCAGATTCATTTTTGTCATCTTCCTCGTTGTCTCATTTAAAATATGCTGGTTCTCATAATATTCTAAAAAACATAGATATTCGATGATTAATATTAAATAATATTTCATTGCAATATTACGATAAATAATAATGATAAAAATAATAAAAGTAATATAATACCTTTGATCCTACACCAATTTTTAGGATAAATGTAAACACGAATTCTTCCTTCTAATGACATCCGTAAAATTGAATTCGCAGCTCTATAAGTGTCAAATCTCGCTGCTTTAGCAGTGTAATAATCTTTTTTAGCAGCCCAGCCATCACATATGTCCATGGCAGACCAGGTATCCGAATCTGATTGATGTTTTATATTTAATATTTTGGGTAAATCTATTCGTTCCGCTATGAGTTTGATACTCCTATATGGATCTCTGACTTGAGCAATTGGATATAATCCCATTAAAATTTGAAGCGGTCCAGAAATCAATGATGGAAATACTAAACCGGGACAGTCACAAAGACAAACCGTTTTGGTTAAAAAGATTGTTTGAAAATGTTTTGTATGGCCAGGCGTACGAGACACGCTTACTACTTTTTTACCTGTAATGTAAAAATAGAAATTAGTTTTAACAGAAAAGTTGCATAGTAATAAGAATATAATTATTCATAACTTATGTGTGTATTACTTACCTATTAATGAATTTATTAAAGATGATTTTCCAACATTTGGTGTACCAATGCAACCAATAGTCAATATACCATTTTTATATTTTTCATGTTTTACATAACTAAAATCTTGTTTTTCAATGACAATATCATTCTTTCTGTCTATATCTTCCATATCCATTTCCGAATGCATCTCTTCTTCAATTTTAGCATTCCAAGAACCCAAATCAACGTTATCTCCAACAATAGTTTTGCATTCTTTCAATAGCTGTAACGCTTTTTCCGATGCCATCTTCAATCTTTCTCTTTTACAGAGTTTCTTAGTGCCTTGGTCTTTTGTATTGTTTTTCAATTTATTATTTGGAAACGACGTGAACATTAATATATGTAATTCAGGATAAAGTTTAGAAAAATAATTTCTCCAAGCTAATGTTAAAGCAGGAGGCGCCAAATCAATTTTGTTGAGAATTAAAATCATATCTTTTCCAAGTTCTTCTTTTATATAGTTGTATAAATATGGTGGAAACATCAAAGGAGCAAATCTAATATCGACAATGACCAATAATATATCTGCCATTTCTATAACTCTCCACAATTGTCTCCAAAATTCTAAATTTGTTTCATAATAGTAGACGTCCTTTCTTAAAGATTGTTTATAATCCTAAATAAAGACAAGTTATCAATTAATCAAATATTAAGACTTTCTATCTGAATGTTTACTATGACTAGTACTAATATTACTACTACTACTACACTACCATAAGAATTCAGTACTTACATGAAAATATTGCTCTTCTCTATTTTCCACTTCGGATTTTTGCATATCATAATTCCAAAATGGTCTTTTGGGCATGTCTACATCAGATGGAAAGTAATCCGAAATGGTCCGAAGTTCTTGTTGTTTGAGAGAAATCATATCAATCGTAGATCTACTCTCTTCTTCAATCTTTTGCAATGTTTCTAATTTTTTCTTACGGTAATCACATGTTTGTTCGAATTCATCTGTCTTATTATTTCTCTGTCTTCTGATATTTGTATGCTCTATTTCAGTCTTCTTTCTACCCTCTCTTAAATTCTCGTATGGATTATCAGAAGCTAGAAGTAAATGCGTTGAGATAAAATTTGTACTAACAGTATGACATCTAATTTAAAACGATTATAATAAAAATATTTTCATCAATTAACATACGTGATAAATCATTATTTTGTCGTTGTTTCTTAGCTTGCATTTGCTGCTTTTTAGCTTTGCCACTAAATGGTATTTTTCTTCTTCCTTGTGGCATGTTTGTTTATTTACTTGAATAGTTTTACACTAATTTCAATCTAAACGTTCTAATAACATTCACGTCTAACATACTGTAAGAAATGACTGCAACTGAAACATGCACCAGGGTTATATACGTCTATGCACCTTCTACCATTTGGTTGATGCATTTGTTATTACTCCCACTCTAGAAAAATCGCATGCGCATTGGATAGCAGAGCGCAATTGGCTGAAACTTCTGGTATTATCCCCACTTTAGAAATAGTGCATATGCATTGAATAGCAGAGCGTTGCTTTCGATACGACCATAGATTAATACTATTCTAGATATGTAGATGCGTACTTTCTAGATTAATACTAATTTTTCAAAAGCATAATGTCCCTAGAAGTTATTCCTTCAAAATATCCCATTGCATAACTTACTGCAGTATGACAGTTTTAGGAAATAACTATCAAATATTGTCAATACCTTTTCAGTCAGTGAGCCAACAACGAAGAGTAAAATCTGAATAATTCGCGAATGTACGTACGCTTATAAAGCAACTATTTATCTGTGAAATATTCTTGTATTGTCGTTACGTTCGAAAAATATTAAAAGAAATTTTAATACATTACATAATAATATATTAAATATTATAATAAGTATTAGAAGTGATTTTCCGAAACTGCAATGTTGTTGATCAATGTTAGCGATCTCAATCCGTTTCGTGCTGTGACATAACATAACCTATAAATTTAAATATATTTTTGTTTATTTGAAATTCACTAAATTGCAGTATTAGATTATTCGGCTTTTTAAAAATATGGAGTGGCAACATTTATTGGAGCCACTTAATCGTAAACTAAGGATCACGCGTTTTATCGCGCATAACGAAAAACGCGAAATAAGATTGATGACTTATTTATTGGCCGATCAAGAAGTAAGGTACGTTTCAATAAAATTTCCTTTCTGCTAAACAATGGATGCACGAGATAGCATTGAAATAATAAGAGAGATGCCCATTTAATTCCGTTTGCTGGATTATTCTTTATTACTATCCACACATATTTTTTCATATGCTCTCTCTTATTTGGTTCGTGATACTTTTCTTTGTTTAGTTTCATTTTAAACATTTGATACATGCATTTATTAAAAAAGACTAATTTATTTCTCTTCCTATTTATTTTAGGGAGTTCATATCCTTGTGGTTAGAACAAAAATACGATAACAGAGATTTTAAATCGCTGGAAAAAGCCAAGGTGTTCAAGGATGCTGGAAACAAAGAGTTTCAAGCAAAACATTATATTTCAAGTATTCAATCTTATACAAAGGTTGCATTATATGCTCCAGCAGACAGCGAAGTCTTACCATTAGCTATTGCAAATAGATCTGCCGCTTTATATCATCTGGGAAAATATGAAGTAAGTAGAATGCGAAGAAAATAAATGCAAGAATATTTAACATTAATATCATCGAATTATATTAAATTATCATGTTTTTAAATATAAAATTTCTTTTCAATATTTTCAAGGACTGTATTAAAAATATTGAACTTGCTATTAAGTTAGAATATCCAGAAAAGTTGAGACATAAGTTGTATCTAAGAGCGGTACAGTCTTATTTAAAATTAGGAAAACCGACTAAAGCTAAGGAAGCTCTTGTTCGTGTACGTGAATTAATGGCTAAATGCACCGACCTACCAGATGTGAAAAAAGGTTGTTAATTATTACAATTATACAAGTTTTTGTTTGTTCATTTTATATTGTGTATTAAAACAAGGTTTTTGTTTTATCGATATACAGAGGATATAGAAAAACAAATCGCACACTTGACATCTCTTGCATCATGTACGCATAATGATGTAGAAGATACCGAAGATAACGATGGAACGCAATCATTGCCTGAACTCGCATTTGGAGAAAATCCTGATTTTCCTTCTGCATCGATAGCTGTAGATAGAAAATATTCATCGGAGAAAGGAAGATACGTTGTAGCTAATAGAGACATAAAAAAAGGTCAAATACTTTTTGTTGAAAAACCATTTGCTTTCGTACTTGTGGATTATGCTGGAGTGAGCGGTTTTTGTGAAAATTGTTGTCGTCCTTATGGAGATGTTCCTGTTCCGTAATTATTGCTTTTTTCTGTTTTATACACTTACACTACGAATATACAGGTATTTTTTAATAGGTAAAAATATCTTTTAGGTGTACGATGTGTTTAGATACCTTATACTGTAGTATGAAATGTTGGAACGACGATTTTTCGTTATATCATCGCTGGGAATGTCTAGGTAGTCAAATGGGACTTTGGAATCATAATGGAATTGCACGTTTAGGTTTAAAGATGTTTTTAATGTGCTCAGCTACAACTGATAGAAACAAATTTAACGAGGTTCAAAAGTTAATAACAAATTATGAAAAGTTACCATTAAAAGATCTTATCGCTTTTGGAATTGTAAGTTAATTATTTAATTGCTTTGAAACATCAATTAGTATAGACTTGTTTTCTTTCCATTTTAAATAACAATTCATTTATATTTCAGACGGCAACTATGCTTACGCTTTATCTTATAAAATATTCTGATTTTTTTGAACAAAACGATCTTACGGAATGTTTGATATCCAAATTTTCTGACGAGAGTTATAATTTTCCCTGTGACCCTTCTGTAGAAAGTGATAGGCATTTATACGTAGGCAGCTTACTTTTGAGACACATTTTGCAACTTGTCTCTAATGGTCATACAATTACAAAATTAGACGTAATTGTGTCAGATAAAGATAAGGTTCTAACAGAACGAGAAAATCGTTTTGCAAAAGCGGTATATTCTTCTGCGAGTATGATGAATCATTCTTGTGATCCAAATGTAATAAGCAGGTAAAAATATCTTAATATTTATCTTTTCAACAAATCGTAAGAAAGAGGATCGATAATGAAGTTATTTTTATTCGTATTATGACTTTTTAGTTTCATGGACCAATATATGATTGTTAAGGCTATAAAAGATATAGGAGCAGGAGAAGAAATTTATACCTGTTATGGTAAATAAAGTATTAAATAAATAGGATATTTTGAAATGATGAAAATTAAATTAATAACATAATTCGTTAAATCTGTTTTAATAGGTGCACATTTTAGACAAATATCAAGAAATTATAGACAATTAGCCTTAAAAAGTCAGTATTGCTTTACTTGCAAATGTGAACCTTGCACCATACCAGAACTTCAATATTTTATGGTAAAAAATTTGTATTATGTTATAAATTAGAGTAAACTATATACAAGATGTCTCGAGGTTTACTGGCAAAGCTGCATAATATTTTTTCTTATATTAACTTGTAGTATATATTTCTGTAGTTTGACCAGTAGACCCAGAGACACTGTATGAATTCGCGATATCGTATATAATAAACGTTAATATTTTTTAGGAAAGATTCAATGCTATAAAATGTCCAGAATGTAGCGGAGCTTTGTTTACTGTTCATAATTATTATATGCATTGCTTGGATTGTGGTGCAACACCTACTTTAAATTATGACATTGAATTAAGACATGCCCAGAAACTTTTCGAAGATGCACAAGATTATATAGAAATGGAGAGAGAAGAGGAAGCTCTGGATAAATTGAAACAATGTTTAAGTATTAGGAGAACTGTATTATATAAATACCACGAAGATATAACTGCTACGTTGGATCTTATAGGGAAAGTATATGCCATTATGGGTTTGTATCTGTACAAGTTTTTTCTTTTTAGAATTAATCATTATATTTGAATGAAAATAATATTGTAATGAATTTATTATGACGATAGGTCGATGGTTAGATTCTATATCATACTTGGAACATAGCATTGCTGCCATAAGTGAAAGATATGGTTCTTGTAGCATAGAACTTGCCAATGAATTAAATAAACTTACAGATATATGTATAAGATATCTTCAAGAAGAACCTAATACAGTGACAAAGTGGTATAAGTAAGTTAAGATTATTTTTATAAAAACGTAATTTATTATATCTCACATTTTTCAATCACTTAGAAGAAAGAAAAAACGAAGGAAAAAATATTTTTTTTACTCTTTAGAAACATCCTAAAAAAGACACGACGATATTTGTCGCACGCAGAGGAAATATTGAATTTCAATTATGGACCGTGGAATAGCGCTTGCGGTGAAATAAGTGCAAAACAAAAGATTTTATCGGTTTTGCTGAAAGATTTTAACATTTAGTCCGTATTATTATTGATAATGTACTATGTTTAATAACGCGAACGAATACAAACTGGCAAGTTAACATATTGTAAAGTTTCTATATACATTTATATATATGTAGGGTCTTTCACCTAACTAGACCACCTTAAATATATTGTGAAATGTCTGTCAGTAACTTCAGTACGCGCTCAGGGGACGGTAAATGGAGGAACAAATGCAAATTAATGTGTAAAACACTCATACAAGCAAAAAATCTTCTCTTCAACATTTCACAATTTTCTCGGCAAAGATCACTTGAAGATTAACATATTGCACCTTGTTGGATTCATTTTTTTATAAGCTATCAGACTGGTGTAGTGAAAATATGTAGTCCTATTTACAAAAAATACGATGACATTGAAATCTCGAAAAAAATTCGGCCTATTACCGTATCAGCGCCTTCGAACAGAATATTTTTTCCCTTCCGACATTTTTTTCTATCGTACGAAATAATCGATATATTTAAGGTGGTCTATTTAGGTGAAAGATCCTGTATATATATATTATAAGATTCGTATGTATAGGGTTTTTTAATTTTTTTTTTTTTTTTTTTTTTTAAGTAGAAACACATCTAGTAGTTAACGTAATGTAGATTGCTCGTAGATTTAAAATACGAATCTTTTTTGATTATACATTTTTCGACGCACCGTATACTTAACGGCAATTTAAAACGAAGTTATAATTAAGTAAACGACTTTTATCATTCTAAGTTTAATTATTAATATACATTAACGTATATACATATATAATAATAAAAAATTGTCTATAAACTCTAATTAACGAGAATACGAAACTATTTGAAAAAGGACTGAAAGGACTGAACATAACTTTAAACGAAGTTGAACTTAAATATATTGTATATTGGAAGCGAAGAAGAACAAATATCACTTCACTTTTCAATGCTTAATAGCACTTAACGGAAAAGTATTATTTTAAACGACGATACTTAGTATGTACTTTTATTTGTGATATCGCTTCGATTAATACGGTCTTACGATGTGATGATACTTTTAATTAATCGGAATAAAGAAAATAATGTAGAAAATATGAATCGTGCATTAAATGATTTTCTAACGTAATCAACATTTTTGAAAACGTGTGTTCGCCCGTCTTTCTTATATTTATTATATCAAAACTATACTTACTGATTTAGCTTGTTCTTTTCTTTTTTATGTATATATGTTACCGGAAAAGTGGCAAATGCAGAAATTGTTAGCAATTCCTTATTCTATTACAAAAAAAGAAAAAAACAAAAAAATAAGAGAAATTAAACCAGAAGACATTTAAACTTGACAAATTAATATTTATCATACGAAAATAGGAATTATTATAATTCTCGCGAATTATACGATGTTACGTTTGTAAAATTTATAGTCAACATCTATAGTTCACTTTATATTCTTTTTTTATTCGGAAACCATAGAGTAGGTGTACGTCATGCTAAAAAAAAAATATTACCCACTGGGTTTAATTTACGATATTACTATGCGTTCATTCCCCTATTTTTTATAAATAGAAATATGTCTTCTCGTACTTTTGTTTGTTTTTATTAGATCTAATCAGGAATAATAAGTTCGTGATGCAAATGAGAAAGAGAGGTATATAGAGGTAGAGTAAGTACCTTTCGACGACTCGAGGAACGAACGACGATTTTAATTTGCCACGGAAGTAACGAATAGTAGATGCATACAGTGCAGCTTTATTAAAAATACATTAACAAATGCATATCCTCCGGTCACAGGAGAGGTGGTGGTTCCATTTGCAAATGGACTCCAACGCCCCGAGTATAAATTGAAAAGAATAATAATATACCTTTCGGCTTATCTATATAAAATATGAACCCCACCTTTTTTTTTGTCTTCTTTTTCTTTCTATCTTTTGTTTTAAATTTTGTCTCTTTATACAACAAACCAGACTATTCTTTGTTATTTTTATTTTAGGAAACATCGAGGATAATTTTTATGCGAAACAATAGCGTTGTATTATATACAAGGTGTTTCGAAATGGTAGAAACCAATTAATATTTTCATTTGAAAAAAATTTGTAGAAAATAATAGGGGCTCGAAACTTTTCAACCTGATCTTGTATATCAGCGAAATTTCGATTAGAAAGAATTTATTTGTTTGTGATAACACATACTTCGATAATCTCAAAAAACTCAATTTCATTACGTTGAAAAGAATATTATTTATTTCTTAGTATTTTTTGAACTGAATTCCTACTATAAATATTAAAAATTTAATGTTTATTGTGTTATTATCAAAAACATAAAATTTCTAAGTACTTATAGGCGCCCATAGCAATCTTAGAGAGTAAAGGCGTTTTTCTAGTGCATTTTAAAGAAAGCTACATACGTCTCGATAAAAGTTAAATGCGTATGGAAATTATCTTCGTATATGTTATTTAGTTTATCATGTAAATTTATGGTATCCGTAGGAACAATCGACTATTTCGATTTTCTCTTTCTATCGATCGACGAATATAAATGATATCGTTCATTCTAATTTTCGTATATCGAAACGCATTCACGTATACATTTCCATCGATTTTCTTCTCTTCTGATCTTGTTACATTCATATCAATGAACGCATCATGAAGATCTGTTATCTTGGTGATAATGAAAAAGAAATGAAAGTAAGAATTACGATCGTGGAAAAGAAAGAAAATGAAGATTACTCGTTGAAGAAGTGATAACGACTATGTTACAGCAACGTAAAAAAAAAAAAAAAGAAGAAGAAAAAATATAGATACAAATAAAAAAAGAAATTTCCTTCGTAATAAAAGTTTGTGTTTCAATTAGTAACAAGTCGGGATTTGTAATAATTACATTTTCTTTCTTTCGCCTCGAGAATAGACTTATTTACATTGTATAATTACAATGTTTTATTCTTTTTCTTGGATTTTTGTTTATTTCGATAACTCTTACTGTATTTGTTGTAAACTTTTACGATCGGTTCGTGCTCGACGAAGCAATAACTCGAAGGTAAACGATGTTAACGCGATCGGAAGATCGTTCTCGACTATCGAACCCTCGAAGGGTTCTACAAGTGGGATTTCTCTCTCTCTCTCTTGGCGTACTTTAGTTTTCCCGTAGCGATGCCATGCAATATACACGCCACATAAACGGCAATAGCGATAGACATTACCCTATTCTGTTACTCTAAGAGTTTCCACTCGGGAGAGATAGAGGGTTGACCCGATCGTTACCCTACGAAGCTAAAGCTTCACCCTTTATCGACCAACCAATAATGTATTACAACCATTTTCAAGAAAATTACAATAGTCTAGTAAACAACGAGAAAGAAAATCCCTTCATGAAATAGTTTTAACTCGGTTTAATGCATATATTAGGCTTGGGAATAATGTTTTTCTCGTATTTTAATACAAATATAAAACAAATTCTTTACAAACGATTATACAAAAAATAAGAAATAAATAAATTGTTATTGCATATTGAATAGGAAGGAAAGGCTTGTTAGTATGTATTAATGAAAAATAGGGGGGGTTTGAAATGTTAACGGGAAAAATACCAGAGAAACTTTTCCCTTCCCTCTAATTCAATATTATATAAATGGCATCTTTTAAAATTTGTTATATGCGTCTCTTTCTATAGGTAGTTTTTTCTTTTTAATTTCCCCATTCGTATTTTTATTCATTCATTTATTTGTATTATGTATTAAAATATTAACTAAAGGGAAACAGTGATCCATGTTTGTATAATACAAAAAAGAAACCGCTACTTCCATTTGCTTTCCTAACTTACGTAACACCATCGAAAAAAGCTATTCCTTTCTTATCCAAAATTTGAGTATAATGTAAATTTAATTACTATGGAATATTTATGCTCTTAAATTATCCGATATTTTTGCGCTTAGCAGAGTGTACACTATTTTTAACGAGCTTACGTTTTTGCAGCTCGACGGTTTGCCGTTAGCGTTACTGGGTGCCATTGCTATCGCTGTTGCTTTTGCTGTTACTTTTACTGTTGCTGTTGTTACAAAAAAACATCGCGAGAAAATTCTTTGTCTCTGAGAAACACATATATATATGTATATATTTCTGCGCATATATTCAATTGCAAATACGGTAACAATTTTTGGTCACGTTACCGTTTCTCGCATAACGAGCTATTCAAAAGAGAAGAACGTGATGACGAATAGCGAGTTCCGATTTTAAAGCTAAATTTTGCGCTTCGAGGAAGACGGAAGAGAGGACGCGAACGATTCAAGTTAATTCTATATATTCGAGAAAAGAGAGAGAGAGAGAGAGAGAGATAGAGAGAAAGATGAAAGGTTGAAACATTTCCTCTACGTTCGCACTTTCTGTTAGCTCTTTCACAAATTCGAAAGGTAAAAGGAGATAGAAATAGAAGAAGAAGAAGAGAAACTGAGAAAGAAAGAGAGTAAATTCTCTCTGTTAATTATCGTGACTCGTCGTTCATTCTTCGTTTTTTCTTATTTCGAATCTCGTAGCGTGGCTTTCTTTCGTGTTTAGTAGAAAATTAACGCGACTCTATTGCTTTTTCGAGCTCTATATCTTATAAATCGATTGAAATTCGTTTGATAACGTCATCGTGAAACCTTTTTAACTAGTACGATAAAAACTTTCTCTCTCTTTCTCTCTCCTTCCCTCCTTTTTTCTCTTTTCGTCTATTTTCCTTTTTTTTTTTCCTTTTTCGTTTTTTCTCTTACCTTTCACGTTTTTGTCTCACACTTAGAAACCAAGTGTACACCGCATTTCATCAAGCAAATGGCCGGCCCTTTTCGCGCGATCAGGTATAGTTTTCGAGAGTTTCACGGTTAAACTTTAGCCGACTCGTACGCTATTGGATCTTGCACTTAGCGATAATTAAACGTCGACGTTGGCCAAAAGTAAAGTAAGTACTTACCTCGTAAACCCATTTTCGCCTTCTCGTTGATAAAAAGAGGGGAATGAGTGAAAGAGAGAGGGTTGGGAACACATAAGCATATATATATATATAGATTCAAAATGAAAAAATTAAATAGAAAAATGAAAAACACATAAAGGAAAAAAAAAGACAGACAGACAAGTATACAAAGGTAAGTGAAACAAAGAAAAAAACGCACATACGCAGTTTAATATCTCTGTGTGTATAGATATATATGTATATATTTATAATCGCGTTCTTCATAAAAGTACAATAATAGCTTTATATCAAATCACGAAGAGAACATTCAATATTCGTCGTATAAGCAACACACTGTTGTTGATAGTGTTGATTGTGGTAATCAGAGTTACAGTTGTAATTAATTAGTTAATTGTTGTTAATAATTAGGCGCACACGCACACGTGGGCTATTTATTTATTTATTTACGACGGTTCCGATGATGATTCGAGGAATATTATCGATTCGCGATTAATCGTTGCGCGCGTGATTCATATAATTCTTCCTTCTTTTTTTTTTTTTTTTTTAAATCTTTAAATCTCTTCTTCCTCTTCTTCATCTTCATCTTCTTTCCAAATATCTTTTCTTTCTTTCTTCCTTTCTTTTATTCGTATTTTTTCTTTTTTTGTTGTCTTTTATAATTTCTTTATTTTTTTTTTGTTTTTTTTTTTTGTTTCCCGTCGATCATTATTATTACATCATTCGACTCCAAACTCGTGCTGGAGTCTCATATTTTCATTCGACGAGAGGCTTCTCTTTTTTAATGAGAAAAAAAAGAGGGGAAGAAAAAATAAACAAATAAAAGGGTAAACGTACAAGCTTAAGTAAAAACAACGTGTGGTATAAGAAGTAATTATATAATAAAAATAAGAGGGGACGAAAAAAAATATATAATAAAGAGAAACACAATGAATACAGAGAGGTAATGAAAATAGCAACAAAGAAACTATTCAAAAATGCGACACCTTGTATAATATTATAATAGTCCGACACGGGGCCTTACGCGAGAGATACAACATGTACACATTCTCTCTGTATTTCTTTCATTCTATCCCACTTTCCCTTCTTCTTATCTCTCTCACTCTCTTTCTCTTTGTCTAACACAAATGCATTCTCAAACGTACATACGCAGAACACACTTAACATATAACCCAAAACTGGAAT